CCCCCCCCCCCCCCTTAAAAGAATTTAAAACCATTTAAAAGATAGATTATAGGGGTATGAACTCACTTTATGCGGGTGATTCAATTGAAGATTCGAATAAGGATGATAAATTCCACGAATGAAGTTTCGAAGCACATACGAGTCCTAAATGTCATATAATGATACATATAGGCATGAAATTAGTGATTCTAACTACAAAGGTGATTGGGAAACAACCTAGGATGCAAGAATAACTCACCAGAGGAGTGTTAGAAGCAAGTTGGAAGGCTGAAATGGAGTTCACGGCTGGGCTTGATGTGTTCACGGCCCTATGGGGGTGTTCACGGCCCAAGAACACATAAGTGTTCATGGCCCAAGTTGAATGGTTCACGGCCCAAGTTGTATTGGTTCACGACCTAAATGAAGGTTCACGGCCTTAGGAGGGTTCACGGCCCAGAAATGGTGAAGAACACTTGAAGATCTTGGTGTTTTGGCAAGTGTTTGAAGATCCTAGTAAGCTTCTAAGGAGTAGCAAAGGAAAAGGGGTGTTTAAGGGAAGAAAAGAGTGTTCTTGAGGATGATACTTGAGAGAGAATGGATTAATTGCGGCCAAGGAAAGAAGAAGTGGAGGAAAAGTGGCTAAAACTCATACATATAGCATGAGTTCACGGCCTAAGAAGGGTTCACATCCATGAACATGGTTCATGGCCGTGAACCTCACTTGTTGAGGTTTTATGGCTCGAATGCTGTTCTAGGCTCTTGGTTCTTATGTGGTTCACTTCCTAGCACGCAACCCTTACGTATACTCGGTCTAGAAACCTATAAGTTTGACCTTAAGTTGACGTGCTTGACCTTATAAGATAGAAATTTTTGGGTTGTGACAAACCCTTTTAATAACAATGTACTATCAGATCCCCTTAATATCAATGTATTACAATTTTTTTTGATAACTTGTTTGACATGATGTTATTGGATTAAATTAATTGATTTTTGGTATATTACAATTTTTTTGACATGATTGTTTTGGTATATATTTGTTTCCATATTTTTGTATTATGTGTAAATGAGTATCGTAAAGACGCGTTGTAAATGTATATCGTAAATGGTTGCTGAAGCTTATGACACGAAAATGTTTGTCGTCTTCATTTTTGACAGGGGCTTTAATGATACGCAATGCATGTCCTAAACGCGCGTCGTAAGGTTACGACACGCAAATGCGTGTCATCTTCCTTTATGACAGGGCCTTCCTTGATACGCAATGCGTGTTGTAAATGCGCATCGTAAATGCGTGTCGTAATTGAGCGTCGTAAATGCGTGTCGTAAATAGATGACACACAAAAGCGTGTCATCTTTCGTTATGACAGGGCCTTCCTTGACACACATTTGCGTGTCGTCTGAGCGTTTTACGACACGCATTGCGTGTCGTCTGAGCGTTTTACGACACGCATTGCGTGTCGTAAAAGGCTGTTTTTGTAGTAGTGCTTGTAAGTAAATTTTAAATTTAATTGCATTGGATATCATCAAAGTGATTAAAATAAATAACATTTTAGTTTGTTACAAAATAATTCACAGATTCTCTATCTACATTCAACTGATTGTCAAAACCAATACGTCAACCGAAAAATAAGAGCAATATGCTACTGGAATTATGGAAAGATTAATTCAAGGAAAAACATTGAAAAAGCTCAAGGTCAGTTAGGATTGGTCACATTGGTTAAAGATGTTGATTTGATACAATACAAAGATGAATAAGATGTTGACTTCGTTAAACAAAAAGGAAAAGGAAAAGGAAAACAAGTTGAAAAAGATGCAGATACAGAAGAAAATGATGACATTAGTGTAGAGGTAATAATGAACTTACTCTATTAAGCTGTGAACTGAATCTTAAGTTGTGAATTGGTTTTTATAGAAATGTACCTGTAAACTAATAATAATTTAATACTTATTGCAGAATTATTTCCTTTTGATACAAAGTGAGTTTAAAACCATTTTGGAGTGTAGAAACAGTATTCAAAAAACATTGGAGCATGCACTTCAAAAATATCCAGATGATAGAGAACTATAGAGATGGTTTGAAAGGTTTATGAACATTAAAAAAGTGTTTAACAAAGACATTGGCGAATCACCAAGACCAAGAGAAAAAGAAAATGAAAATGAGACAGGTGAAAAAGAGTTTGAACATCAGTTAGAAGCAGAAAAAGGTGAAGAAGATGCTACAACAGAAAGAGAATATGATAATCCAAACTTTGAAGATAAAATGCCAAACACACCAAATATGGAGGCTGGCCAAAAAGATTATCTTACCAATGAATCTCAAGGAGAAGGTAATATCAAAAACAAAAATATAACTTAACAACAAACTTAAATTTTCAATTAAAATGACTATTATGCAATACATCTTACAGGAACAACAAAAAACAAAGAAGAAAAAGGAAATGAAAAAAAAATATTTGAAGAAAAGAATGATCAATGAAAAGGAAAAGAACAAAAAGTTTATAAAAGATCAAAGAGGACAACAACTAAAACAGAGCCTTACCAATCACCTTACATGAGGCGGACAATTGAAGTGAGAAATAAGTTAGAAGCTGTTGAGACAAGGATTTCAAAATCCATATTCTCACTATAAAAGGATGACAAGCAAGTGAATGATTTTAATATAAATAATATTTAAAAAAACTTAATTAAATTTAATTGTATTAAGTTGTGAATAAAAATGTAAATATGAACAAAATTAAAATAAAAACAATTTTTTTAACTATTTTTATTTTCTTTTTGATAAAAACAAACACTAATATTATCAGTATTCACAATTTAATGTTGACAACTTAATAGAATTAAATTTTGATAAGTTTATATTACTCAAACAGGGAAATAATATTTGAAACAAAGCATGGGCACAAAGTGGAAAGGATATTTTTTGAAACATTAATACCAAGTGCATGGATCCACCCAAAAGTATTCGACTATTGGTCGATGTTATTGAATGATGAAGAGAAGTGTAAAGCAAATACCACACCATTATGCTTCTACTTCCCAATAGGAATGGTAGTAAGAAATATTTTAAAATATAATTATAGAATTTTAATATTAATATAAAATAACTAATGATAATTTAATAAAATAACATTTTCATTTTTTCCTAGAGCAATGAAATGTTGGATAGAGATATATCATATGATAAGAGATTGGAAAAGTTTGCAGAAAAATTGAATGAAGCAATGAAGAACTACCCACATATGAAGGATTTTAAAAAAAGTTAGAATTGTAAGAAAAAACTATTTATTACTTTTTATTATAATTATATAGTATATATACAAATATTTATATTAAAGTATTAAAAATTTCAACTATATTATTAATGCCGATATTCTTCCCAATACTGCACAGAAAGCACTACAACATCATTTGTTTCAATTGGCAAAAAATGTAGTGTACATCTAATTGACAATGAAAAAACCATGAAAGATATTGTGCATACTTATGGAATGTTTCCATATTATTTGGAGAGTATTGATTAATAACTTAGGAAAAAAAAAGCAAATGTTTTTTATTAACTCTTAAACTGTGAATTTTATATCTTATCATCCTTACTAATGAATTTTTTAAATACTGTTCAATTTGATGATATCGTACTTGATTGATAAAAAAACACCCAAAAGCAGACAATTTACTAAAGAAGGAAGTTGCAATTTTTAAACTAAAGTGGTGGACAGAAAACAACATGAGCGACAGTGGAGTTATGTTGATGAGACATATGAAAACTTTCAAGGGACAAGGGCCAAATAACTGGGATTCTGAGATTGAAAAAGATCAAAATCAGCAGAAAACACAATTAACAAAGCTTCAATCAAAATATTTTACAAAGATCTTGGTGAATGATATCAATATCCACAACAACAAGATAACAGAAGAAGGTCTTGAGTTTGAAAAACTGACAACAAAAGAATAAAAACAAGTTGTGATTCATGGAATGCAGAACTATGATTAAAGGTTTCAGTTGATTGGTGAAGACTAAGAAATAAATATCTACTATTTTTATTTTTATAAATGCTTAGATGATATTGAAGACTTCTATCTAGTTGAACAAATATGGTGTTTATGATGTTTTTATTTTGGATAATGTTTGCTGACATGGTGAATATGTTGGAATGATATTTTTTTTCTTAGCTAAATATGAATTTCTAGTTAATTGTTGATGTTAATATAAAATTTATTAAGAAAATGAATGTTAATCATAACTTTGACAATTGTGAATGTTTAAATTAAAACAAAATAACTAAAGTATTAAGTTGTGAATAGAATTTTGAATTTTTTTGAATAAAGATAAAATTTCAAAAACATTTGAATATACTTGATATATATAAGACAACAGCATGTAATAAAATAAAAATTAAGAAACTTAACAAATATGTTAGACTACAATAATATAGATGATATATAATATTTAAGTTGTGAATAACATACATAAACGTTATGTATCTAAATAATAAACAAATATAATTGGTGAACCCTAAAAGGTTTTGTACCATAAGTTCTAATTTACTTTCCAATTCGGAAAGAATGGACACATCTTCTGTAAGCTTGAGAATGGTGTAGATATTATTATAGTTGTCAACATTGTATTTTGTAATATCTACAAGAAAACCAAACTTGCGGTTTTTCAACACGTTAAGTTGCATTGGAAATAGTGCATCACTGTCTCCAGCCTGTAAGAAGATTTTTAATAAATTAGAACAAATTATATGTTTTCTGATTTTAATATATGAATAATATAATATACCACTTCATGTATCTTTTTCAACTCGTATGCACTTATATCTAACAGCCTCTTTGCTTCTCTATCAAAAAGAGTCAATCCGATGGTGCCAGTACCATCTTGTACGTTGATTGGAATTATATACCTAAAAAAACATTTAGATAAATATTAATTTTTTTGAAAGTTTGAAACAATTAATATAAATATAAATGTGTTTACTTTATAACTGTATGAAAATCCGATTTGTTGCAACGTGGATCTTTACACTGAACAACAACAGTTTCTGTAATTTTGTGAGGGTCGGTATAGGAATGATTGGGTCTGGGAACTGGGTTTATTTTTTTTTTCCACATTTGTAGCATGCTTCGTAATACCATGGTAGATTCTGTCTTATATTAATGATAAAATTTTCATTTCCTGTATCAAATAAAATATACAGTTAGGAAATACATAGTGTAAAAAAAATAAAAAAGATATCAAATAATGCAATGTACCTTCAGCGGTTCTGTGATCTCACAAATTGTTTTTAATGGGAAAGTGCCCTTAAAGTCATCTGTATATGAAGAAGAGTAGCTTTGGAGTGAAGTTATGCTTTTTTCAGAATTACCTCCATTGTCATCAGCTTTCAATCTGTAATGTTTAAAATCATTTGAGAAATCTTAGGATTTGTGTTTGTGTAAATTAAAATACATTATAAACAAATAACAGAAATCAAAGAAACTAACTTTTTCTTGAACTCATTAATTTCGACAATGTCAGAATTTTTGAACAATTTGGTTACTTCAAAATGACTTTTAGCTTGACCAACTCCTGTAAAATTAAAATAGCAAATCAATAACAATTGTACAAAAACAAACCATTCCAAATGTTAAGCTTCAAAAACTGCATCACTATAACAACACAATTAACCGTGGGGTTATTTTTTAGGTATTGTGACATCTGATATGCTTGAGTTCCAAAAATAGTAACCTTCAGATGTACAGAACTAAATAAACAATGAAATTAGTTATTAATATTAAAGTGTGATTAATTAAAGATAATAAAAAAATAAAAAAAATATAAACTCACTCTAGGTTGCTAAGAGTGAGTTTTATATAATGCTTGGATGCTACAGGATTTGAAGTTTCAAGAGGCCGAAATGACACAATCTGTCCAATAACATCTACACAAGAGATAACACAAGATAAACTATTGCATTAATATTTAAATATTTAAATACTAAAATGTATAATAAAGAACACAAGTGATAAAATGATTGGAATAAAATTTAATAACTAACCAAAGAATGTGTCTCTTGGGCATGTTTGTTCTATGATAGAATTAAAATCAACAAACATAAATCCATTCACCGGACCCGAGAAATCCTCACATTTTTTTAGGATACTTTTCCAATCCAAAGTTAAGGTTTGTTTATGACTTGTATAACTAAAACCATTAATAACAGCCGCCATATTGGGTTTTAGAATTATATAAGTTTCATCTTCCTTTAAAAGATGACCAAATCTGGAGAAATTCTGATTAAAGACACGAGAATGATATTTTGTACCCTGTTAAATAAAATAAATAAGAATTATTTTTTGTTGAAACATATGTAATATTAAATGAGGTATAAAAAATATATGAAATACAACAAACCTCCTCGTCCATCAGGATCATTTCAATTGAACAAACCGTATTATTTTTGACAAAGTTCCACATTTTAAGCACCCGAACCTTGATATGTGAATTTTCATCTATCTGTTCAATGTTTTTTAGGTAAACTTTATTCCCTATATTCATTTTCTGCAAGACAATTGAAAGCATATAGAATTGTAAGCAAATAGCATTTTTATAAAATAATATATGCAGTTAAAGAAACTGTACAAATACATACTAAAATAGTTCCTATTTAGTACAAATATAGCAAATAAGATATCTGCACCAATACAAAAATAGTTCCTATTTAGTACAAATATAGCAAATAAGATATCTGCACCAAAAAAACAGTGTTTCAAAATTTCTTTAGACATAGCAGATTTTTCGAAAAGTTACAGAAATGGTCCCTGGATTAGCTTTACATAATGTTGAGAAAGGTCAAGAATTTTGAATTGTATGAAATATTTTGTAGGTCTTCTATTGACATTAACAGGAACTGGTGAAGAGGGTATATCTATAAATGTATGGGGACCCTCAGATTTCAAGTATTTAGTTGATGCAATGAAATCATTCATTCGGTTAGAAAAAGATCATCGAAAGAGCAACACTGGTTGGCTAGTATATCTGTAAAGGTCAAGTATTTCATGTTTTTTATTTTGATTATCTGCAATTCGAATTTAGAAATAAAAAAAATTGAATAAATTCACATGACGATAAATTAGTCTTAGATTTTGAATTGCTCTGTTTTTTTTTACAAACATATCACTTATTGTTGTCATCGTTGTTATATATGTGTCTGCAACTGTTGTTTATAATCTTACCTTGGAATAAACATGTTTACTCAACTTTTGTTGTACATAAGCTGATAAACGTTTGCAAATTGACTATTTGAATTCACAAAGTATTTAACAACATCAAGTACTCATGTTCATTAGGTATTTCGTGTTTTTAACTGAAGAGGTAGAAGAAGAAGATGAGGAAGAAGAATAAGAAAAAGAAGAAGAAGAAGATCACTCATATACTGACAACATGACAGATACTGAAAAATCAGATCATGAAGAGCATAGAAACATTGGTAATCTTGATTTCTGGTTGTTTATTCTAACAAAAATAAAACGATCATAACATAATGTTAAATAAATACTACAAATTAATTTGAAAACACTAACCTGATATGTGTTTATGGAAGCGTTGCAGGATTAAGAGGGCGGAGGATGATTATGCAGTAAACTTGGTACCGACAGGAAGGATTGAAGAACTTATGTTAGCAACTTCAATGATTGAATAAATTATGTTAAAAACAGTGAAGAAGAACTGAAGAAGAACACCGTTTGTAAAGAATTCTCTGAAGCAGAATCGTGAACACAAAAGAAGCGTATAGATGGTATACTTGTATATATTTCGGTATTGGATAATTTGGTGCAGATTTTTTGGGATTTAATCACTGGAAATTATTTAATTTCCAATCACAATAAACAAACTTCCATATTAAATCGGGTATTTTGAATTTGAAATTTGAATAACCGATTTTTTTATATTATTTGCAAATCTTTTGTTCATTTAAATTTTTTGATTGCATTTTTTAAGTGCAGTTTTTTCCGGATTTATTGCCTCTATTTGAAGTGAAGGGCATTTACGTAAATCGACCTGAAGAAAAGAAGCGGGAAAACTCTATTTTGGGGGTCTGGGAGACTGACACGTGGCGTTATTCTACTTATTTATTAGGATAGGGGATTTAACTTAATAATCAATGTTATTTTTTAAAATTTTAAAATTCTTTTTTTCAAATATTCAGTAAATTTTTAATACAAAAATATACAATTTAATTTATAACATATATTAATTAAACAATTAATTGTTATTTATTAATTTTAAATACATAAATAAGATAATTATTTATTTATATTAAAACATTGCATAAATTTCATTCTATCTTATAATTAAAGCCATTGTAAGGGAAAAAAAGGAACACGATCAAAGTCGCATTCATTACGATCTATTTATTTCAAGAAACTTTATGTGTTTGTTCTATTTAACGATTTTGAAAGTTTTAGTTTTTTTTTTGAACAGCGGTAATTTTATTAAAAAACTAGCTAGAAGCTAGAAAAAGAGACATTACAACATCTTACAAGCACTAACCGGCTAGAAAGTTTTAGTTTTTAAGAAAAATTTTAAAAAAATAAAAAATATCGTTTAACAACATAAGCCTTTAACTTTTATTCTAAACAAAAAAAAAATCCAAAAGCTATTATTTTCAATTATTGATAAAAAAACTTGAAACGACATTTAATTCATAAAATAATATAATGTCTAATTTTATTTTAAAAACGTTTACAAATAAAATAAATTAAGAAATTAAAATAACCAAATAAATTAGCTTACATCATTCAAACCAAACAAATAATCCAACATACTATAATGAGATAACACTATATATATATTTTAATTGTTTAAATTACTTATCAAATAAAAATAATAAAAACGATAACAAATGTAACTCACATCAAATCATACAACATATCTATTGAAAAAATCTTTGAAAATACAAACTGTTTTGTATTTATAGCTGACTCTATATTTATTGATTACACTTGGCCCTATGGTTATTTTCCAATATTGAAGTTTTTCCTACCATGCTATAATTATTTTCCAACTCATTTTTCTTTCTCTTTCACGTTAAGGCTACCCGGTATGGGAGGTTTTTCACGTGTCTTGGGCTAAGGTGGCAGCCTCTCCCACGCGTGAACAACGCCCCCAAAACCGGTGGGCTGCGCGTGACGTGGCTCCGGAGACGCGAGAAGACGGAGCTTCCTATTGGCTTGCTTCTTTTTTGACCGTTTGCCCTTTAATTTTGTTGGTTTTTCTTTTAATCATCGAAATAGAAAAACAAGGGATATACCGGTTTTCCAGAAATTGGGTGAAGAAGACAACCAAATTGTAAACGGGTTTTAATGGAAGTTACAAATTTGGTCCCTGAGATTCTATCATTTAATCATATTATACCCTTACACTTTTATTTGAATTAAGTTAAACCCTTAACTACATATAATTATGTTTATTTAATTTTAAAAATTAATAATATGTTTATTTGATTTTTTAATTAGTAAAATGATTACTTAAGTTTATAATAATATTTTTTTTTATTTAATCTAATGTTTTAAATTTAAAAAATAAAAATATAAATAACGTGGAGTGGTAACCATTTCCAATGTTTAGTGGTTTGGTGGTGGGTTGGGTGTGAAGCTGACGTGGTGCACATGTGGCAGCACTTTTCCGGTGAGATGGGTGTGACCACTCCCCATAGCCTAATTTACTTCTTCCATAAATTCAAAACCCGATTTGTTTTAATAATGGATTTAGAAAACTTCAAACTTAAAAGATAAAAAATATAATTTAAAGTTTACATATAATGCAAAAAAGATGAAGTAAATATTGTATTTTTTTTAGATTAACCAAAACATCATAGCAAATCAAATCAAAACATAATAAAACCTATATAAACAAATTTAAAACAGGACACAAAATTTCATACTAACAACTACATGTTAACAAAAAAATAATTATACAACTCCTAAAAATACATTAAAAAAGGTACGAAATTAAAAAGATTCATTCAAAATTAAATACCAAAACATGTATTACCGATTTCATTAAAATCAATCAGCACGTTATAGTTATAAATGACTATGTTTATGTTAATATACTAATTGATCAAATAATTAAGCTTTAAAATAAAGATATTAAAAAGTCAATAGTATGATAAATTCGAAAGATTTAAATGTAAAAGTTAATATAGTTAAAAATTAAAGACTTACTATTCACCTAAAATATTTTTGAGAAAACATGTAATAAAATAATATATGATTTATGATATTAAAAACAATACTCTCGGTCACATGAAATATAAAAGAATTAATTATGTTTTAATAATTTAATATTTTGGTTTATTATAATAAAAGATATGGGCACATGTATTTATATAACTAGAAAGGTTACCCCGTTACGCGGGGCCAGAAGCTTTCAATGTTGTTTCCGAATTGATAAATATGACAGACATAAAAAGTGCAAGGATGAAAAGTCTGGGCTTTGCCCCGGACAAAAAATGTAAAAGTTTTGACTGCAAGGACCAGAAGTGTGAAAATGGCTAAAGAGTTAAAGGGGTAGGAATTAACAACTTTTTAGAAAAGGGATCAAAGTTGTTAAACCGTTAAAGTTTTGTGGCCAAACTTTAAATATTAAAAGGTTCCAAAAAAGTGTAAAAATATTGATTGCAATGACCAAAAATGTCAAAATGGGTAAAGAATAATGACCAAAGTTGCCAAAAAACATCCAAATTTAGTATTCCTAACTTCCAACAATAATACAGGGACCAATTCTGCCAAAAATGGAAAGTTGAATGGAACACAAACAAAAGGACATGAATAAATTAATTAAAGAAATACAGGGACCGGATATGTAAATCGAGGGATCAAACTTAGACAAAGTATCCCAAGTTTACTATTTCTTTCTTCCACAACTGTATATAATAATAAAAAAAAAAGAAAATAAAAGTTGTAGGAGAACACTAAAATCTTTATCTCAATATTACACACAATATCTCTCAGATATCTTTTGCTTTTCTTTACGTCCATACTCAGAGCTATCACATCGTCTTTGCATTTCTTTCAAAAATAAATCAATATTTATTAACAAAAAACTAATTATATGAAGGCCATACAAATATTTATCATAAATAACTAAATTTTACAATTTAAGGTCGTCAAATAATTGTTATAAAAATACAAAGTTATTAGGATGTCATAAATATGCATCATTAGACTATTAGATGTGGGCATCATGTTATTACTTGTTATCACATCCAAATTGTCCACCTCATCATCTTAGTCATAATTTTGTGTTATAACACCAAAGATGGAAATTGGCAACACCAAATAACATGGGATAACACATTCTATTTTCTATTTTTTTTTATTTTTTTTTTAATGTTTTTAATTTCTATTATTCTAATTTGTTTTATTTTT